CACTGTTTGTAATATCAAACAATTGCAAGCATGCCAAATGCCCATTAATCAAATTTGGTTAAGTAAATTATAGTTCATTCAGGGAATCAATCAAGTACTATGCAGCCTTCAAAAAGGGTGAGATTGATGGTATTGACATGGAAAATACCCAAGGTCTATTGTTGAGTGAAGGATGCAAGTTGCAGAACAATGCGTACAACATGTTTCCATTTAGGGAGTGGATACAAATATCAGAGGTCACAAACTGAAGTGTACCCCCCCAAATTAACTCCGTTTCTTTTTCTGTTGGAGCCCTGGTGGCTCAGTGGTTAAGAGTTACAGCTGCTAACCAAAAGGCTGGCAATTCAAATCCACCAGACACTCCTTGGAAACCCTCTAGGGCAATTCTGTTCTGTCCTATAGGGTTGCTATGAGTTAGAATCAACTCGATGGCAATGGATTTGGTTTTTTGTTTTTGTTTTTTTTTTGGTCTTTTTCTATAACTGAACTTAATTTCTATATCTATCACTGTGAGTTCTGTTCCAAGGGAGATTTTGTGCAGAGAAAAGAACTGTTACAATTACTTATGTTTTAATCAGTATTTCAAGTTATGAAGACATACATTTTAAAACCTAGTTTTCTTATCTTTAACTCAATGCATAAATAGTTTTATGGTATTTATAAATTTAGTAATTTAATATAAAATAATAACAACTACCTTCACTTGTTTTTTGATAAATGCTGGATTGATTCATAAACTTGACAGATCAAATTCATTGAAGCATTTAACACTATTTGCATATTTAATCAATCAAATTCCCTTAGGCACTTTAAGCTACAATTACAAACAGGGTATATCTGATTCTGTCAAACATTTCAAACTTCTAACAAGGCAAACTATCAAGCATAATCTTCCTACACACTTACACATTCAAATAAATCTTCTAAAATTGTGTAAATCTAATAAACCAGACTTAATAATGCAGTGGCTAAAACTCTTTTAAGTGTCTCATGCGTCTTGAAAAACACAGCAGGCACAAGGCTGCCCAGGAATCCAAAACTTGCGGGAATCCAAAACTTTCTTACTGTACCTGTATAAACACCAAAAAAAAAAACAAAAAACCCGTTGCTGTCAGGTTGATTCGGTCTCATAGTGACTGTATAGGACAGAGTAGAACTGCCCCACAGAGTTTCCAAGGAGCAGCTGGTGGATTTAAACTGCCGACCTTTTGGTTAGCAGCTATAGCTCTCCGTAGCTCTTAACCACTGCCCCACCAGGGCTCCATCAGAGAATTACTCGGACCCAAATGTTGATAGTGCTGAGGCTGAGAAACCCGGATCTAAGAAGAACAAACTACCAGCTTAGACGGGCTGAAGTATTCAGTTCCAGCGAGTCCAAACCAAAAGGGCACTAAACTGGAGTGACCACATACCGAGTTGGGCCCTTTTCTGGCCAGAGTTTGTCTGCAGGGCTAACAAGCCTTTCTAACCCTGGCCTCTCAGCTGGGACTTAACCTGTCTCCTAAATTTCAATTCAGGGTTTCGTCAGCTGATGCAGAGTAAACTCAGTCACTTCAGGGTTCTCCTGCCCCTTTCTTCTCTCGGAGGAGATTCTACGTCCATGAGGTCTGTACTTACTATATCGGTTTCCCAGGACTGCTGTAACACAAATACTACAGTGGGTAGCTTTTGTCAGAAATTTATTTCTCACAGTTCTGGAGGCTAAAAGTCCAAATCGGGAGTAGCCATATTAATTCCTTCCTTGTTTGTAGTTCTGGATGTTCCTTGGTTCCTTGACTTACAGACAATCCTCACATGGCATCTACACCCTACTCCTGGGGGAGTTCGAATCTCGGTGTCTAATCTGTTATTTTTATAACTCAGAAGTGATTAGATCTAGAACCCACCTTAAGAGCTACAGCTGCTAACCAAAAGGGTATGATCTAACTAGCATAACAAAGAAAACCCTATTTCCAAACAGGATTACATCCACGGGTATCCGGGTTAGGATTCCAATACATCTTTTGGGAGGACACAATTTAATCCATAATGTTTACCATCAGGACCTAGAAAAGTAGGGGGCCAACCTTGGCCATGGTCTGCTCATGCTAGCATCTGCTGAGCTCTCCAAATTCCTGTAGGCTCCTGCATGGCTGTTTTCTCGTCCTTGTATCTCCTGCCCCATGCCCTCAGCCCAGCCATGGAGTTCCAGGCCCACAGGCGTTCAGAGGCGTGTCTGAGCCACATGGGGCTTTTATGAGGATGTAATGAGGCCACCCCAAGCCCACCACCCGTCCAGGGGCCCTTATGCCCCCCTCTGCTTTCCCACCCTATGGTGGCAAGGCACCTCCCAGGCTACTGGCAGGAAGCAGAGCACAAGTGTGCTCTCCTCTCAGACTCCCAAACCCACCAGGGGGGCCTATCTGCTGTCCCCCTATTGTCCACCCCAGCACATGGCATGAAGGGTGGGACCAGGTGTAGGTCCCCTCAACCAGGCTCACATCAGCACCTCACTCTATGCCCTCCTCCCCAATTCTCGCTCTAGTCCCCAGCCTGGAGAATTTATTTCTAGTGGATTCCTCAAGCCTAGCTCCTGGGCTAGGCATGGGGCTGGTGAGGTGGGGCTGGTGAGCTGTGGAGGAAGGGTCTTAGAGTATGCATGAAGGAAGCAGGGATGGCCCTGTTAGACCCAACCCCTTCTCGATATATGAATGAACATTTTGGTAGCACCTCCTCTACTCTCCCAAAATGACAATCATAAATAAAATGCCTTCCCACACACTTGATGTTTTAAAACCACACTATAACACCTGAGCTATAATAAGAGGAAAAATAAAAGGAAAACCGTTTATAATCAAATAACACATATTTCAAAATGTCAATGCTCAGGCCCCGTAACGCTAGAAAAGAGAATGAACTGTCACATCCTTGTCCCTTTTAATAGTAAATAAGTTGGGATTTAAGAAAAGTAAGCAGATCAGAAAGCATTCTGTATAAGGACAAAAAAAAAAGAAAAAGAAAGAAAGAAAGCAGAGATATACGATGACATGCTAGAATCAATATTATTTTAATCTGCATTTTGAAAACTGCAGAAACCAACTATGTTTTGTAGCTGGTACTTGTAAAAGGGAGTCAGGTTCTAGGTCAAGATCATCGTAACAAGTCTCTCACCCACATGAATGTCTGGGACACTGGAAAAGTTGTGCGTATAGAATGCGGACGATTCTTCCTGCAGACTGTCTCAGGCTTTGCAGGATGTCCACATCCCTGTCCCCGCCGATCAAATGCCAGTAGTGCCCCCAGTCATTGTGAAACAAAAACACATCCTCCTGTATTACCAAAATCACACACGTGCACACACACACACACTATCACGTGCGTGTGCACTCACACACACACACACACACACACACACACACTCTCCCCTCCCAGAACCACTGAGTTAAGCTTCAAAATATTAATTGGCCAAGTGGGTAAAATTCCAACAGCACATATGGAAGGACATATGCCAGAATGTTGTCAGTGGTTTTCTAAGGGAGACTGGGGATTGCAGGGAACTTTCCAATTCTTTTTTTACATTTCTATATTGTATGGAATTTTGCTTACAACCTGTATGAACTTTGCAATTGGAAAAACCATGGAGCTTTTTAGAAAGTAATGCGGGATTCCCTCTAGCATGCGTGTTTGGTTTGTTCCTCTCAAGGAAGATTCAGATCTGTGGTAGGGAAACCATTGATTCATTTTTTAAAATGCCAAGACAGCTCAGCCCGCTTGGGGACAGCAGCTTTGCAGGGCGGCCTGCAGATGGCTCCAGGGTATCCAGCTCAGCCCAGCCCTGCAGCTTCCCTGCACTCCTGCCTGCACTGCCGCCCATGGACAATGGCGATACTGCGCTCTCCCAGAGGCTATGGGAGTGGAGGGACAGGAGCCCCTAACCTTTGTGCAATTGACCCCTTGGCAGTCTGGTGAAGCTTAGGGACCTCTTCTTAGAATAATGGGCTTTAAATGTATAAAATAAAATACATATGCTTAAAAGGAAACCAATAATATTGAAATGGATATCAAAATATTTTTAATTGCTTAATGTAGTAATAAATGTGCCTCTTATTGTTGTTTTTGTTAGTGGTTGTCAAGTCAATTCCAACTCATATCCACCCCATGTGACAGAGTAGAACTGTCCCCATTGAGTTTTCTAGGTTGTAATTTTTACAGAGCAGATCACCAGGTCTTTCTCTCATGGAGCCGCTGGGTGGGTTTGAACTCCCCACTTTTTGGTTAGCAGCTGAGGGCTTAACCATTGCACCATAACCAGCTCTAGTGGCAGGTCTAATAGCTACAGTGATTTTCCATGGCATGAGCATACACGATATCATCAACAACTTGATGTGATAAAGTCTGATTTTTATTGGTGACAAAGTCACAGGCACTACCAACACCTTCCTCAGAATGAAAAGCTAACTGTCAGTTACCACCACGCCACCAGTTGCTGTGGAGCCCATCTCCAACTCATGGCAACCCTATGTGTGTCAGAGTAGAACTCGGCTCCATAGGGTTTTCAGTAGCTGATTTTTCAGAAGTAGATCACCAGGCCTTTCTTCCAAGGTGCCTCTGGATTGACTCAAACCTCTCAGGTAGCAGCCAAACAGATTAACGTTTGCACCACCCAGGGACTCCATATTTTAGAAGTTAGTAAAAGCCAAGACATAATTTTTTCTGTTGCAAGTTCATGGACTCCCTGAATTCCCCTCACAGACCCCTGGGTGCATGAACCATGTGTTAAGTCCCCAGAAGAATCTAGGGTTTAGATCTAGAGACTGGAAGAAGCACTTCTGAGGGTTTAGGCCAGGGAGGATCAGCTGGAGTTGGCTCAGGGAGCAGTAGGGAATTCACCACACAGGGCCTCCCTGCACAGCCCCTCCCCTCCTTTCTTAGTCCTGCCTCTGGAAGAAGTTAAAGCCAGCGACAGCAGGGAGAGAAGTCACACTTTCTGGCGTCTGTACCCGCGGTGTCCAGAGCCCACAATGTGGCTCCTCTTGCTGTGGGGCTGCCTCCTGCTCCCAGGTGAGATGGGGGTGGGCCGTGCGTGGGAAGGAAGGGGGTCTCACGTCCTAGCCCACCCCAGAGGACCTCCTGGACGTGTATTTCCTTTCCTCAAAGCCCATGTGGTAGTGACCATGTCCATGCCTCCTGGCTTCACCCCATGCTACCTGTCCTCAGCCTCCTGAGCCTCAGCGAACCTAGAACCTGCTCCCGGGAGATCCCAGGTTTTCCCTATGGGTTCCGGTCTGCCCTCGTTGCCTGGCTGTGGGGGTGGCTTTATCTCCCTATTCTCCCTACTCTGTGCCAAGACTGGAGGCAGAAAGACACCGCTGTGGATGTCCCATTAAACTCAGCAAATATTTATTGAACCTCCGAGAGATAAAGAATTACTTCATTTCATCAATTCACAGGCCTGTTTTTTTCATTGTTGTTGGTTGTTTTTTACCTTTTAACATCTGAAAGCAGGACGCATCTTACAACTGTCAGTTGTTCCATTAGCAGTTTGTTTTCCTATTGGAACATAAAATTAGGGTGTGTCTTACATATGGTGACATCTTAAATTCAGTGAAATAGGATATCGTCACTTATAGATGAATAACTCAGAGGCCCAGAGAAGTCAAGCGACTTCCCTAGATCACACAGCTACTAAGTGGCAGTGCTGGGATTCAAACTCCCGTTTGTCTGAATCTAGACACTGCCCTCCTTCAATACGCCAGGTGTAGGAAAACAGCAACAGCCCTGGGTACCCCGGAAGGAGAGGGATCTGGTTCACAAGGCTGCCCCCAGAAGGGGGTGACCGAGGAAAGCCTGCCTTCCTCCCCGTGAATCGGGAACATCTGGTCTTAACTCGGGACGTCGATCCAGCAGATTCCGACCTCCAACCGTGCTGTGGTTTCAGGATCTACAGCCCTGGAGGGTCCGAAGGAGATCAGTGGGTTTGAAGGTGACACGGTGTCCGTGAGGTGCTCCTACAGGGAGAAGCTGAAGAGGAACCAGAAATACTGGTGCAGGATGGGCGGTATCTTCATCTCCCGCTGCTCTGGCACCATCTATGCGGGAGAAGACGGCCAGGAGGTGGCATCGGGCAGGGTATCCATCCGCGACAGTCTCCAGGAGCAGGCGTTCACCGTGACTCTGAGGAACCTCACCCTGGGGGATGACGGGAAGTACTGGTGTGGGGTCACACGACTGGGCTTCGATGAGACTCTCCTGGTGACTCTGGTCGTCTTTCCAGGTAATAAATGTCTCTACTTCCCCCGGCTGGGGGACAAGGGGTGGGGAGTGTAAGAGGGAGGGGCAGGTCATCAGAGGTAGACGCGGTTTCGCACCAACTTCGCTGGGTATCTGGAAGATTCTGTGAGATCATGCAGGTCAAGTGCTCACAGCTCTGATGCAGACTGTGTGTCGTGAGTCCTAGCTGTTCTTTCGCTCCTGCTGCCCAAGGTCACACTGATAGTAGGTGGCAGAGTGGGATTGAACCTACATCTGTCAGACTCCACCTTCAGAGTCTTTGCTCTCTACCCAGATGTGTGAGATGTAGATTGCTATGGGCTGGGGACAAGATGGACATCCCAGGGAATAAAAAAGACTCCCTCCCTGGAGTCAGAGATGTTCCTCAGGACTGGAGTCAACCATTGCTACATCCCAGACCCACCCACAGCGTCACCCAAGCCATGGCCACACTGGCCTCACTCTCCTTGTGACCTCAGTTCTCCCTCTCAGCCTCCTATCCCCAGATTTTAATTCTCAGGGACAGGTGCTGGGAGTGCCTGGGAACCACCCTCTGGAAGGATAGATAGATAGACAGATGCCATCCAGTCAACTCTGACTCATAGCAACGTTGACCTTAGGTATAACAGAACGAAGCATTGCCCGGTCCTGGATCATCCTCACCAGTGCTGGCATGTCTGAGTCTATCATTGTAGCTATTGTGTCAATCCACCTCACTGAGGGTTTCCCTTGCCCTCGCTGGCCCTCTGATTCAGCACACATGATGTCCTCCTCCAGTGATTGATCGCACCTGATGATATGTCCAAAGCCAGCAAATTGGACAGTGTTCTGTTGTGATCCATAAGATTTTCGTTGGCTAATTTTCAGAAGTAGATTGCCAGACCTTTCTTCCTATTCCATCTTAGTCTGGAAGCTCCAGTGAAACTTGTTCACCACGGGTGACCCTGCTGGTATTTGAAATATACTGATGGCATAGCTTCCAGCATCACAGCAACATGCAAGTCTATACGGTACAACAAACTGACAGACTGGTGAGCTTGTTGGGCTGGGGGACTCTCAAGGGCTGGGGCTGGAGCTGTGGGGCCCAGGCAGGGGGCGGAGCACCTCTCTAGATGCCCAGAACTCTACCTGGGCTGCTGAGCTGAGTAGAAGGAAGCCAGAGAGGGGCCAGGAAGTGGGCAGCCCCAGTCTGCCAGGCAGTGAGGACGAAGTAAGGCTTTGTATCCCCATTTCACAGATGGGGGATTGAGGCTCCGAGAGACACATGCTTTACCCATGTTCTCACAGCAGGAAGTGGTGGAGCCAGGATTCAAACGCAGGTTTTTTCTGGCTTTGGAGTCAGCTCTTTTCCTCTGCTAGTCTCGTAACTGGGGCCCGTCCCCACCACCAGCTCCACGGGTTCTTATTTTAATTCAGGGAAATAAATTTAAACTCATCAAGTAATCACAGCAGCATCAAAACCACATTGAACCTATTCTCCATTATTCACAGGATTCTCTGGTCCCTTCCAATTCTTGTCTGTATTCAGACTTCATTTTTCCCTAAACTCTGTGTGTATCAGAGTAGAACTGCACTCCATAGCGTTTTCAATGGTGGATTTTTCAGAAGTAGATTCCCAGGCCTTTCTTCTAAGGTGCCTCTGGGTGGACTCAAACCACTAACCTTTCGGTTAGCAGCCAAGCACATTAACTGTTTGTACTACCTAGGGACAATTTTTACTTAGTTGTGATCAGTTTTACCTACATTTAGGGTCTCTTTTTTTGTTCTTCCTTAATTCTTACTCTTATTTGTAATTATTTATTTGTGTATGACATATACACGAATAACTAATTTATATTATTATATAATCCTCCTGTATCAGACCTTGTTGGCCTCTCTCTGATGACAGTTGGGATATTGAAAATGACGGAGACTGTCATGGATTGAATTATGTCCCCCAAAAAATGTGTGTATCAATTTGGCCGGGCCATGATTCCTGGTATTGAGTGATTTTCCTATACGTTGTAAATCCTGCCTCTATGATGTTAATGAGGGAGGATGGGCGCCAGTTGTGTTAGTAAGGCAGGACTCAGTCTACAAGATTGGACTGTGTCCTGAGGCAATCTCTTGAGATATAAAAGAGAGAAGTGAGCAGAGAGACAGGCGGAACTCATACCACCGAGAAAGCAGTGCCGGGAGCAGAGCGTGTCCTTTGGACCCGGGGTCCCTGCGCAGAGAAGCTCCTAGTCCAGGGGAAGACTGATGAGAAGGCTGACAGAGAGAGAAAGCCTTCCCCTGGAGCTGATACCCTGAATTTGGACTTTTATCCTACTTTACTGTGAGGAAATAAGTTCGTCTTTGTTAAAGCCGTCCACATGTGGTATTTCTGTTATAGCAGCACCCGATGACTGAGACAGAGACCAATTAATGGTAGTGGTGTGAAGGCACTGGTGGTTCAGTGGTAGAATTCTTGCCTTCCAGGGGAGAGACCTGGATTTGATTCCTGGCCAATACACCTCATGCACAGCCACCACCTGTCTGTCATTGGAGGCTTGCATGTTGCTATGATGCTGAATAGATTTGAGCGGAGCTTCCAGACTCAGACAGATTAGGAAGAAAGGCCTGGCAATCTGCTTTCAAAATGAGCTAGTGAAAACCGTATGATCACAACAATACAACCTGAAACTGGTTATGGGGATGGCGCAGGACCGGGCAGCATTTTATTCTGACTCAACGAAGGCAGCAAACAGCAACAACAATGGCAGTGGTTGCCGGTAAATGTTTTAACACCCTGCTCGGCCAGGGGGAGGAGCTCTGATTTGTGGTGTTTGACGATTTCTGTGGTGTAAATGCTTCTCCCATGACCAATTTCCTGCCTCCAACGGCTGCCAAGATTTGTGAAAATTTACAATCAGCCCTCATGAGCCAGCATGAACCAACTTCAGCTAAGGGAGAGACATTGCAAGGATTTCTAGGAAGATCAGGAATAAGACAAGTGTGCCACTCTCCTGTCTTTTATCCATCATTGCCTGGAGGCCCTAGACGATGAAATAGGACAAGACAAAGAAGTATAAATATTGGAAAGGAAAAGATAAATACTCTTTGTTTGCAGAAGATTTGATCATCTACTTAGTAAATCTGAGACTAAACTGACCTAGTATTAGAACAGAGGATGGTGGAGGAAGGGGGAGGATCCAGGGTGGTACGTAAGTCAGGACAGACTGGGGAGGTGACTGATGGACATGGGGATGCTGGGGGAGCTTGGCGGCGCCAGGGGTTTAGCCACAACAGGTTTCTGTCCACTGTGCTGGTCCTGGCCTTGTGCTGGGCACAGAGAGTAGGCCTTTTGCCTTCAAGGAGTCCCAGCCTAGTGGGGGAGACCCAGTAAACAAGTTGTTGTTGTCAGCTGCCATCGAATCTCCCCGACTCATGGCGACCCCATGCCCAACAGAGTGAAACACTGCCTGGTCCTGCTCCAGCCCAACAATCGGTTGTAGATCCGATAATGTTCCATTGTGATTCACAGGGTTCTCATTGGCTGATTTTCGGAAGAGATCGACAGGCCTTTCTTCCTAGTCCATCTTAGTAAACAAGTAATCACGGCATAATGGAGTATAAGTTCTATTGGAGGCGTGCACGGGGTGCTGGGGGAACACAAAGGAGAAAGGGATTTGCTCCTTTTGAGGAAGGCGTTAGGGAGGTGGCGACTTTTGAGCTGGGTGCTGAAGAACAGTGTCTTAGTCATCTAGTGCTGCTGTAACAGAAATACCACAAGTGGATGGCTTTAACAAAGAGAAGTTTATTCTCTCACAGTCCAGTAGGTTACAAGTCCAAATTCAGGGTGTCACCTGCAAGGGAAAGCTTTCTGTCTGTGTCAGCCCTGGAGGAAGGTCCTTGTCATCAGTCTTGCCTTGGTCTGGGAGCATCTCCGCGCAGGAGCCTCAGTTCCAAAGGACACACTGTGCTCCCAGTGCTGCTTTCTTGGTGGTATGAGGTCCCCCTATCTCTCTGCTCACTTCTCTCTCTTTTTGTATCTCGAAGGAGATTGGCTTAAGACACTATCTAACCTTGTAGACCTTATCAATATAACTGCCACTAATCCATCTTATTACATCATAGTGATAGAATTTACAACACACAGGGAAATCACATCACACGACAAAATGGTAGATCATACAATACTGGGAATCATCACCTAGCCAAGTTGACAGATATTTTTGGGGGACACAATTCAATCCATGACAAACAGGAAAGGCATTGGCTGAAGAGGAACAGCATGCCTAAGGCACGGAGGACGCTTAATTGGGAGTGGAGGGCAGCTCTGAATGGCTAGAGCACTGGCTGGGGAAAGAGGTAAAGCTGCCAGGGTGGGTTGAAGCCTGAGTTTGCAAGGCCTTGAAAGGCATGCTAAAGAGTTTGAATGTCATCTTATAGGTACTGGGGAGCCGTTAACTGTTCTGTAGCAGGGAGTGATGAGATTCAATATATTTTTCACAGACAAAACTGGCATCAGTGTGAAGGATGGGAAGGGGCAGGTTGGGAAGCAGTGGGGTGCAAGGAAGAGGAAGGCCTGAGCTAAGCTTGAGGCCAAGGAGACTTCGAGGAGGCGAACACCACTGCTCAACTGGAATCCACCACCCTTGGCTCATGATTGGCTGAGGGGAGAAGATGGAGCTGCTCTGAGATGGGCATGGGAAAGCTGCTGACTGCTCCCAAGGAAAGGAAGCTGGTTCACAGAGGCAATGTGGGGCCTCCCCTGAGGCCAGCCTCTCCCTTTCCTCTAGGGCCCTGCTGTCCTCCCTCCCCTCCTCCCCGCTTCCAGCCTCTTGCTACAAGGAGCTTCCAGCCCAAGGCGAAAGCTCGGCAAACTCAGCCCCCAGAATTGAGTGAGCGAATGAATGGTTCTTCTGTCCCTCCTCCACCCCTTTTTCAAGAAACACCCAGTGAGTATCTACCTGGTGCCTGACACTGTGTTTTGTGACCACTCAGCTACCCCCACAAGCCTGGGAGCTGGAATGTCCAGCTGAGGGCAGAGAATGGAGGAGGCTCAGTGGAGTTGGGTCCCTCACTCAAGGTCACCCAGGAAGTGGCAGAGCCAGGAAGTGGACACAGCCTGACCATGAAGCTCATGCTTTGTCTGCTCCACTCGGGGTCTACGGGGCAAGCAGGAAGGGCCAGGCTCAGGCCCTGACCTCAGGCTCCATCCCAGCCACCCTGTCCTGTCCAGCTCTGTGGCTGGTGAAGGGAGCCAAGGCCTTAGGAGGCATAGATGGTGGCACATGATGGTGATTTAAAACTTACTCTTCTGGTGAGGGAGGAGGGGACAATTGTCCAGGATGGTAGGGGATGGAAGAAAGGTAGCTACATGCGTGGTCACTGGAATGGGTCATGAGGTAGGGGCAGGGGCATGATTGTACCTCCTCACAGAGAGAATAGTTTGTGGGCACAAAAAGGGGTGGAAACTTATGTGCAGCGTAGGGTGTGCCTAATATATGGTCTGCTTGTTCAAACTGGCCTCATTTAGGCTTCTGCTTGCTTAGTGGGGGTGTCCTTTAGCTGGGGCTTCTCTGAGAAATTGGTCCTGTGGAGGCTAGGGTTTAGGAGTCAAGGGTCAGAGGTCTGGGGATGCTGGGGTTTTCAAGGGTCAGGGAAACCGCCGAGGCATTGCTTTTGGACTTGTAGCTTCTCCCGGTCTCCACCTGAGAGTCACCACAGCCAAGCAGGGGAAGACAGGGGCCGAGGCCCCTCCATATACAGAGACCTCCCTGTACCCACACACAGGACACTCTCTATACACAGGAGCCTCTCATGCAGTGACCTCTCCTCATGCAGCGACCTCTCCTCACGCAGAGACCTCTCCTCATGCAGGGAGCTCCCTCCTGGCCACACAGCTGGACTCCACCTCGGCAAAAGGCACCAGCCCCATCCCCAGCAGCAGCAGCTCCAAGTCCAGGTGAGCCCCAGGTGGCCAAGGTCACCCTTCTGACTGTCACTAAACCATAGGTTCCTTTGTGCAAATAAGAACCTGACGCCCCTTCTTCCAGGTGGACGTAGGATCTTATCATAGCCCCAGCTTGGGGTTCAGAGGGCAGGCTGGAATTCAGCCCCCACTTACTACCTCAGCAGGGCTCTTGAGCAGTGAACGACCTGCACTACAGGAAGCAGCAGCCCTGTTGCCCTGGACTCATAGGCCTCCCTCCACCAAGTTGGAGAGTACAACCATGGCCCTAGTCCCTCTCCCTGTCCTGGCCACAGGGGACAGCTACCCCAGTTCAATAGCTTTTGTCTGAACACTTTGTACTGGGCCCTGTGCCAAGCATTAAGATATGGAACCTAAAAAAAAAATTGAAAAGTAAAAATGAAAGCACCAGACTTAGCCAACTGGAGTTTCCAGCCTGAAGGAGTGGTTCTCGGGGGTTGTAATTGCACTTGGTTACTGACATCCAGGTAACTGTTGGCAGGTTCAGACCTATCTGCAAGTGTCTCCTGGGGCCCCTTGCATACCAGTTGGGCAAACACATGGGCTGACCAGATGTTGGGGTCCCTGGTGCCCTCTGAGGTCCTTCAGAGAGAGAAGGAGAAGGGATGTGACTGGGACTCAGAATAAGAATGCTGTGTTGCCCAGTGTGACAATGATATCAACCAGTACAGGTCATTGAGAATGGCCCAGTGTACCACTGCCCTGAGCTCAGACCCCAGCTGTGTGAGTTGCTTAATCTCTTCAAGTGTCAGTTCCTCCTGTGTGAAATCAGACCAGTCCTATCTAAGTAAACAGTGGTCGTGAAAATTAACAGCTAACACTGGCACTAGCTTAACTTGTGTCAGGCACTGTGCTAAGCTCATCCAAACACATTTAATTCTCACAACAACCCTCTAAAGTCTTATTGTTGTTGTTAGTTGTTGATTCCGACCCATGACGACTCCATGTGTGCGGAGTAGAACTGCTCCAGAGGGTTTTCAAGGCTCTGACCTTTCAGAAGCAGATCACCAGGCTTGTCTTCTGAGGCACCTCTGGGTGGGTTGGAACAGCCAGACTTTCAGCTGGTAGTTGAGCACTTAACTGATTGCACCACCCAGAGACCCGAAGTCTTATTATCATCTCCATTTTATAGAGGAGGAAATTGACGTCCTAGGAGGTTAAGTCACTTGCCCAAATCACCCATCTAGGATGAGGTGGAGCCTGGGTCTGAACCCAGGTGGCTGGCTTCAGAGTCTGCACTAATTAAATAAAATAATGCATGTCAAGTGCCAACAGCAGTAAATGCCCCTCAAATCTTTGCTGGACTGAATTGGGCTTCACGCTGGGATTGGTTTTCCCAGCCCTGTGCCTGAGAGACCCCAAAGACCATAGACTCCGGCTTATCTGGTGACAGCCACTGGGACCCTCCCATCTCGCCCCCAGGGTGTCCATCCCAATGGTCCGCATGTTGGCCCCAGTCCTGGTGCTGCTGGCCCTTCTGCTGGCCACAGGGCTGGCTGGCCTCGGCAGCCACGTGCTCCGCTGGAAGAAAGAAGGTGAGCAAGGGTGGGTGGGAGGCGGTGGGTGGCTCTCAGCTGGGAACCTCTCTGAGACCCACAGCTTCCTTGTCTAGTCCCCAAGAGACCTTGTGGGCCTCAGTGTCTCCAGCTGAGATACAGGCATCAGGAGCCAGCTCCTCCCTTCCAAGGGAGCCACGAGGCAATAAACATGAGGAAAAAGCAATCCCAATGTGAGAATACGAACATAAGGGATTTTCAGCTTCCTGTCCAGGTTCATCAGTCACTTCTGTCCCAGTCAGTCCCAGCGAATCCATCTCCAGGCTCTGCAGGTTCAGCCCTTTGCCGGGGGGCTGACCACTGGGTAACACTGAACAAAGCCCTTGAACTTGAGCAGGATGAATATTGTGGCCCCACGTCTGCCACCAGGTCTCTAGAGGTGCTCAGACCCTTCCATAGGCTTGGTTTCAAATCCCAGCTCTGCTACTCTTTAGCTGTGTAACCTTGGACAAGTCACCTAACCTCCCTGAGCCTCAGTTTCCTCAGATCACGGATACACATGATTTCTGCATCACAGGGATATTATGGGCAGCTCTGTGCAACGGGAATAGAACGCAAGCCACATATGTAATTTAACATTTTCTAGTAGTGTCATTAAAAAGGGAAAAAAGAAACAGGTGAGGTTAATTTTAACAATATAGTTTATTTAACGCCATATATACGACATTATCACTTCAACATGGAATCGACATAAAAAATTAGTTATGATACATATTCTATATTCTTTTTTTTTCTAAATCTGGGGTGTATTTTACACTTACAGCACAGTTCACCTCAGAGTAGTCACATTTCCAGCGCTCGATGGCCTCATGTGGCTCGTAGCCCCGTATTGAGCAGCACAGATTATGAGGGTTAACAGAAATAACGATAATAAGAGCTAGCGTGTGCCAGGTACTGTTCTGCAGGTTTACATTGTTTATCTCTTTTAATCTCCTCTGTGGAGGAGTTAGGAACTATTTATTACAAAAAAAAAAAAAAAAACATTGCCGTCAAGTCAATTCTGACTCATAGTGACCCTATAGGACAGAGTAGAACTGCCCCATGGGGTTTCCAAGGAGTGGCTGGTGGATTCAAACTTTCGACCTTTTGGTTAGCAGCCGTAGCTCTTAACCATTGCGCCACCAGGGCTCCACTTATTACAAGTACCCCCATTTTACAGGGAAGGAAATTGAGGTACAGAGAAGTTAAACAGTTTGTCCAGTGTTGCGCAGTTAGGAAGTGGTGGAGCCAGGAGGATGTGTGCAAAAGCACTTTATAAATTGGCAAGTGTCATCCCAATGAAGGTGGCCAGGGGTCCTCGTGTAACTCTGAGGAAGAAACCCCACCCTAGTAAGAGCTGGGCTTAGGCCTGAGAACTTGGCCTGCCCTGACAATGGGAAGGCCTGGCCTAGTTCTGGGAAAGGCCAGCTCTTCACTCTGCAGCCCCAAGAGAGTCCTCCCCAACTGTCTGATATGGCCCAATCTCCTCTCCTCAACCAGAGGTCTCCATGCAGCTGAAGCCCATCAAAGCTGCTCACCCTCAGACCTGCCCCAGCCTCTTGGCATCCCTGCAGGGCTTACCAGAACAGAGCCATCTGCAGGTGCTGAGAGGTGGTTGGTCACTGCCCTCTTGGCTGTGGCTAGGCACCTCCCAAGGGGCCATGTGGCCTCTGAGGGGTCAGCAGCAGACCCTGCCCTGGATCCTTTGAGTTTCCCAGGGCCCATGTGTGACCAAGGGGCTCCAGCTCCATCCCTTGCACAGCAGACAGTTCTGCCTGCTTCCCCAGGCCCCCTCAGAGGAGTCTGGAGGGAGCATCCAGGGCGGGAGCATGCCTGGTCACAACCTCAGGGCCTCTTAGAACCTTGCTTCTCAAACTGTGGTCCCCAACTAGCAGTGGCATCCCCTGGGAGCCTATTAGGAATGCAGACTCTCAGACCCCAGCTCCAGACCTGCTGAATTAGAATCTTCATTTTAGTATTTCCAGGGGCCTGTGTGCACATTAGGGAGCCCTCGTGGCACAGTGGTTAACCACTTGGCTGCTAACCGAAAGGTCAGCAGTTCGAACCCACCAGCCACTCCGCTCTTTATGCTTTCATAACGATCACAGCCTCGGAAACCCTATGGGGGCAGTTCTACTCTGTCCTATAGGGTCGCTATGAGTTGGAATCAACTTGCTGACAATGTGTGCGTATACTAAGGTTAAGAAGCCCGGCCTTGGCACACAGCATTCCTTCTTCAGCCAGTCTCTGGCAAGACACAGGGGCTGTCCATGGCACTGACCTCAGAGGCTGGGTCATTGCCAAGGGGCTAAGCTGTAAGGGGCTTCTATGTCCAACCTGTCCTACCAACTCCCTCTGCAAAGCCCCTGTTTGCAAGGGGGCCAGCTCACCTCTCTGGGAGCAGCTGCAGGCTACTCCTGGCTGCTCCCGATCTCCAGGTGTTTCTCCTGGGTCTCTCTCAGCTCACTGGCCATGGAGACAGAGAAGAACCAGAAGGTCCACCTCCCACACTTGGTAAGGAAGGAGGTAGGCTGAAGCCCAAGCTCAGATCCCCTTGGGCCTGGAAGTCAGGCCTCCTGGGCCCTGCCTCTGTGTCTTCCCACCTGCCCCTCTGTGTCTGACCTGACCTAGAGGTCGGGCTTGCTTCCCGAGATCAGCCCACCAGGTGTGAGCCAGCTGCAGTGAGTGCCCACCCCCACCCGTCTCCTACCAGGGCCAAGGCTGGAGGAGGAGTAGCAGAAGGAGCTATGTGAGTGTCCTCTTCCCCAGGCCCAGTGCCCTCTTCCTGCCCCCCTTTAATATCAGAGAACCACAGAGCTAGACCCAGAGCGGACCTTTGAGATCATCTAGTCCAGTGGTTCTCTAAGTTTGGCACAAACCCCCTCTCAGAACACCCAGGGGTTTGCTGTTGGAAACGCAGTCTCCTGGAACCTTGCCCCCAAAACTAAATTGGAACCTCTAAGGAGGGGGCCCAGGAACCTGCATTTTAAATTCTGTCTTAGGGAACTCTGACAGCACCCCAAAGTGTGACAATAGAGTCTAGTCTGCTTTTGCAGAAGAGGAAACTGAGGCCCAGAGAGGGTAAAAGTCTCACCCAACGTAACACAGCAGGCGGTGGCCCAAGTGGAAGGTAGGACCCAGATCTGCCCACTCGCATTTCTCCTTTTCTGGAACACTCTGAGATGTGCCTTCCTTGGCTACCTCACTGAAGGTGGCACTTTGAGGAACAGGGGGCCGAGGAAATGGGTGTCTCTGTGCCCATCTTCCTGGAGAGGGGAACCTACCCAAGGCCACCTGCTCTAGGGCCCTTCCCTGACCCCTGCAAGAAGAGACTGTCCCCTCCCACCCTACTCCTCCGGCAAATCACAATTCAGGAAACCGAAGCCCCATCTGCCTCGCCCAGCCCTCCCACCCCACGGGTCCTCTTCCCTCAGTTATTTACAGAGATGCCTTCACTCCAGTTCCCTCAAACGTGGGGGCAGGAAAGGCGGGCTGCTACTCCCTTCTTTCCTGGCGCCAGTGAAGACAAAAGACTCAGACCTATTGCCCCTGCCAGGGAGGGGTTGGAATGGGAGTGGGATGTCGGCCTTGGCTTAGGAAGCAGCTGTTGTTGTCTCAGGAAGCTCCACAAGGCCAAAGGCGGTGGAAGGCAGTGAGGTAAAAGTCACGGCCAGGGGAGGAGCTGCCAGCGACCATCTTCAGAGCGTGGCCTCCTGGCTGTGGTCCTGGGGCCACGGGGCTCGCCCCCACCCAGCTCCAGAAGAGGGGCTGGGGTGTGAGGTCTCTGTCCTGCCAAGGGGAGGTCGGGAGGGTACCTGTACGGTGGCATCACAAAGGGGGTGGAGGGGGTGTGGACTGCACTGGATAACGCTGTCAGAGGGCGTGACACCAAAATGACTGTCTATAAAAGTATCCCTGTAGTTAGTTACAACAACAAAAATACTTTTCATAAGCCCAGCTTGCATGTATCAATGTATCTATAAGGCTAAAACTCTATGCTCATTTACTTTTTGAACCTTCTAATGAGCTCCAAGGAGCCCTGGTGGTGCAACGGTTAAGCACGCAGCTGCTAACCGAAAGGTTGGTAGTGCAGACCTGGAGAAGGACATCATGCTTGTAAAGCAGAAGGTCAGCGAAAAAGAGGAAGACCCTCAACGAGATGGATTGACACAGTGGCTGCAACAATGGGCTCAAGCATAGCAACAATTGTGAGGATGGCGCACGACCAGGCAGTATTTCATTCTGTTGTGCACAGGGTCGGCATCTAACAACAACAGGTGCTCCGCGGGAGAAAGACCTGTTGATCTCTTCCTGGAGAGATAACAGCTTAGAAATCCCTATGGGGCAGTTCTACTCTGTCCTAAAGGGTCGCTATGAGTTAGAATTAACTCGATGGCGCCTAACAACAACACATTGTAGCTAGATGGGTGCAGGTTCTTATGGAGCCCCCTGGTGGTGCGGTGGTTAAAGTGCTAGGCTGCTAACCAAAAGGTTGGCAGTTCAAACCCAACAGCCGCTCCATAGGAGAAAGATGTGGCAGTCTGCCTCTGTAAAGGTTTACAGTCTTAGAAACCCTATGGAGCAGTTCTACTCTGTCCTATAAGGTTGCTATGAGTTGGAATTGACTCAACGGCAGCGGGTTTTAACGTGCCCTGGTACGCACTACAAGCAGGTGCTGTTGTTTTCATTGCTGTGGTGCATTTATAGGTGCTGATTTTGTCAAAATTGCAAGTGTTTTAGCTATAATGTGGTAATTAGTATTTGTACACCTATATCAATAACTTTTTTGAGAATGAAGTAGTTAATTAAAGGAAAAGAAGGAGTGATATACAGGAATTATAATTTCTAAGTAACATTAGTACAAAAACCATTACTAAGGATTCTGTATGGTCTGGTGCGGGAGATGGTCCATGGCGGGCGGGTGACACCAACCCTAGTGCCGCCGCTGTGCCTGTATCAGCCATGCTTCCTGCCCTGCTGCCTCCTCTGCCCACTCTGCGAGGGGCTGCCTGGGACTATTTCCTGCCTGAGGCACCTGTCCCCACCCTGATGATGTGGGAGGGGACAGAAGAGGGCAGAGGGGCTCTAGGAGGTGGCCCCTTGTTGTTGGGGGAAGGCTGGAACAGGGTCTCCTAGACCCCAGAAGGTGAGAGGCAGAGTCCTGTACCCAGGGCCAACTGAAGGCTTCTGCTCCTTCTTGGTTGATTTCCCTTTCGGTTTCCCTGTAGTTTTTAGCAGCGTCTGAAGGCAGAGTTGAGGTGTTTTCTTTGCCCACATTCAGGTCAAAGAGAGAAGAGGGAGCTGTACTTGCCCTGCGAGAAAGCCTCAAGGGGGCGTAAACACTCAGAGGGAAGTGTTAGGGGTCAGGCCAGCATCTTCCTTCCCAAGAAGCAATCCTTCCTGTCACTAGAAGGATTGGCCTCCGTCCATTCGTCCATTTACTCCTTTATTGAGCACCTACTGTGTGCCAGGGGCTTGACATATATTATTGAATCTCCGTAACTCCTACACAAAGTAGGTATTATTGCCTCCATTTTACAGATGAGGAAATAGAGGCTCAGAGAGGATAAGTAACTTGCCCACAGTGGCCCAGCCAGAAAGAGGCAGAGTTAGGGGAACTCACTGAGGTCTGTGGGGCTGGCTGCAAAGCCCTGTGCTTCTTCCATTGTCCGCCACATTGGAGTACAAGGGGTATAAAGAATGACACAAAGCCCACAGCCCAAGGCTTCCTCCCCAGACTCAGGAGGGACATCAGTCCATGGCCATGAAAGTGGGAAGAAGTACAAAGGCAGTGACTGCCTGACTTAGGGGAAGCCAATGGCCCCACAGCGGGTGCTGGGCTCAGATCAGCATTCTCTACTTCTTTGCTGCTACTTTTCTAGTGCCTAGAAACAGGGGCTCTCATATATGGCTCGTGTATTGAACAACCCAGAGGAGAGGTACCTTCTGTGCAGAGAAAACTGCCATCACGCTGCTGGAACAGGCCAGAGCGTCCACAGCATGGGCCGGGGACCGAAGAGAGACTGCAGCTACACTGGACATCAGGCTGTGGTCCTGGCCACGGCCTATCTCTATGGTTTGGTCTCTGCCCGTGAGGTTCTTTTCCTCAAACTCAGTCACCTTGAGCAGGGCAACACTTCTGTGGCAGCTAGTGGTCAGTGGTCAGCAGTGGCTGGGTTGTGACCAAATTGCAAAGTTGTAAGTATGGAACTAATGGGAAATGGATCTGGCTTCAGGAGGACAGGGCTGGGAGGGATAAGGGCCACGGGTAACACTGAGCACTTGTGAAATCTCCTTCCCCCATTCTCTTGTTCCCCAAATCACATCTAGCTGGAGGAATTCTGCCCTGATTCTTAAGTTGTCCCCATGAGGCTGAAGATGTCAACAGAGACAGCTCAGACATCTGCCTCTGCCCCATCCCCCCACAGCTGGGGTATTGATGGAGGCAGAGGCCCCCGTTAGCAGACAAGGGACACTGAGACAAAGAGGAAAGTGTGACATGCCCTGCCACATGGCTACATGGTAGGGAAAGAGTTTGGGTGTGGGGTCAAACTGCTGCAAGTACGAATCCCAGCTGAGCCACTTTCCAACTGTGTGACCTCAGGCAAGTTACACTACCTCTCTGAGCCCTAGTTTCCACATCTCACACGGTTGTGATTAGTAACCAGTGAGATGAGACAACTGTAGGTGCCTGGTAAATGGGAGCTTCTTTCTTTGGCTTCAGTACCCATTTGACCGTTGGGGAGGCTCAGCTGGGGGCCTTGGTCTTGGCCGGCTCCAGCCTCTGCTCTGAAGGAGCTGCCCACCTAGCACGGCAAGGGAGTAGGGGACAGGAGGGCCTGGGTTCCTGACCGGAGGACACAGGGGAGCAGCCAGGCCCGATCAGGAGGTGGGCTTCCCTGCCGATCCCGGACTGCCTACCTCCCTTCCCTGGGCCTCAGTTTCTCCATCCTATCGGGCTTCTCGGACTGATGATGTCTTAAGAATCCTTCCTGCACTGTTAGTCAGTGAATCTTCACTCTCTGGCCTATTACAAAGGCAGCAGCCTACAGGTTCTTTCTGCTTAAAGGATTGTTGTTGCCATCGAGCTGATTCCAACTCATGGTGACCCCATGAACACAGACAGAGTAAAACTGCTCCATAGAGTTTTCAAGGCTGTGACGATTTGGAAGCAGGTCGCCAGGCCTGTCTTCCGAGGCACCTCTGGGTGTGTGTGAACCACCAATATTTCAGCTAGTAGTGGAGTGCTTAGCCATTTGGCAGGGGCAGATTAACCAGTAAGCAAGGTACACACGGGCCTACTTGTGCTTACTTACTAATCTGTAGTGCACCATTTCACCTGTTTTTCACATCGTTGATCTTGGTTGTGGTGAAACCCATGTGAAGTCGGGCACTACAGATTAGTAAGTAAGCCCGTGTGTGCCTTGCTTATTGGGTAATCCGTCCCTATGCTTGTACCACCCAGGGGCCTCCACTTAGAGGGTAGAAATAACAATAATGCAAACAAATTAATCATCCCAGGAGCTCCCATTTATTGAGCAATGAGACATTACCGGAACTATTTATTATCACCCTGAGGGCAACATTATTATTTCCATTTTATAGCTGAGGACACTGAGCCTAAGAGGTTAGACGGTTTACCCAGTGTCACACAGAGACACGGGAAGTGGCAATACCAGGACTGGGACCAAGGAGTCTGACTCCAAAGTAGTGTTTTTCTCCTTGCCCGGCCCCCACCTGCCTTGTCCACCCCTTCCCCAGGTGTCCGCCCTCTCTCTCCAGACCATCCCTGCTGCCAAGGCCAGGCTGTTCTGATGGAGTCTGTTATGGGTGCCTGGGAACAAATGGGTCACAGAGTACTCTGTGATCAACCTTTCTGGAACTTCAAGGCCCACTGGGTCTTGTGCCAGCCATAAGCCCTCTGCCCCCCCAACACGGAGATCTGGTGCCTAAGCCAGGTGTGGACAGACTCCATTCTGACAATGTGGGGAAGCGGGAGAGGGTTCTTTCCTCCACATCCCCTCCCCAATCTCTGTTCTCCTGCATCCGCCCACCTTCCCCATCACAAATTCATAGGCCATTCCACCCAGGAAGCCAGGGCTCTTGCCTTCACATCCCCTTTGTCCCCGTCCAGAAAATTCTAGAATAGCTTGTCAGGAAGTTCTGGGCTTAAAGAGCTCTGGGCTGGCAGGATTCCCGTAACTGCAGCCAGAACCTGGCCTGAGGCAATGAGGATGGTCCCTCAGGGGGTGGGTGGATTCGTGGGGTGAATCAAAGCCTGAGGGTTCTGAGGAGGAGACGTTGTTCCTGCGCCTGCAGATGGGCAGAGGCTTGAGACCTGTGACAAAGGTTGGGGTGGACTCTCCCAACTGGACTTTGCTTTTAAACCCTCACTGTTACCTTTACAGACGTCAGAGGAAGAAGAGCCTTCTTCCCAGAACCCCAAGGGGGACAGCATCCCAGTGCCTCCCCACCACTTGTCTGGGGACAAGCTGTTCCACTCAGAGTTCCTTCCTGTCTAGCGCACCCTCCTGGCCAGGCCTGCCATGAAGCTGAACAACCTACTTTGCACTAACTCACACAAGCTTTATGCCACCACCGCAGACTTCATCTGCCCAGATGCCAGGCTCCCCAACCCTCCCCAGCCGAGGCTCTCCTCCTGCCTGCCCCCGGTGACCTGGAAGCATTTGTCAGCCCTGGAGCCTACAGATGGCCACCTCACAGTTCCAGCTGGAGACTTGGACCTCCCTAATACGCTCACGTGCTCAGCTGCTAACCAAAAGGTTGGCGGTTTGAGTCTACCCAGAGAAAGGCTTGTCCACCTACTTCCGAAAAATCAGCCACTGAAAACCCTATGGAGCACAGTTCTACTCTGGCACACATGGAGGGCACCATGAATCAGAGTCAATGTGATAGCAACTGGTTGGTAACATATTCACACCCCCGGGCAACGGGTAAAGCCACTGGGCCTAGGTCCCCAGCAACAGGACCCCTTCCTCCCTTTTCCTTCCTCCACTGTATCCTCACACTTGACTTTGGTGGTCTCAGCACCACGTTCTCCTGCATAAGCTGGTGATGAGGAGGGACAGCCTGTGGTTAGACCAGATTCTGGTTTCTCAAAGTGAGCTGTGAACCACCTTCATCCCAGTCCTTCAGGAAGCTAGTTTAAAAAATGTGACTCCTGGCCCCACCAAAACTATCTCTGGGGCTGGGCCCAGGACTGTGCATTTCTAACAAGCACCCTAGTGATTCTTAAGCTTGAGTTTGAGGACCAGTGGTCCCAGGAATTCTCAGATCCTCCAGTTTAGAGAGTCCACAGTTGATGTGTGGGGTCTCCCACCTGCCCCCTATAATAGCTGTTCTGCCCACGATACAGTGACCCAGCTGGGAACTTTCTTGAGGCCTACCTGAGTCCAGGCCCAGGTCCGGTGTGAGCCCAGGACTGGCAGGAGCAGTTGCCTCTCTGTTCTCCCTGCCCAGCCTTGCTTTCCTGACTTTGGAAGGAGGATGGAGAAAAGTTTGGCTTCCTTCTTGTCCAGAAAGGCTTAATTGCCTGTGGGTTCCGGCGGCTGAGGACAGGGGTAGGCCATCTAGGGGGAAGAAACCACAGAGTGCAGGTGGGTCTCTAAAAGGTAGGAGGCAGGGGACACGGCAGAAACCCAAGGGGAACCTGAAGATGACCTGGGTGAGATCCTGAGTCCAGCACCAGAGAAGGGGTGAGGGGGATAGAGTAGTGGAACTGCTATTGTCTTTTCTATTTTCTTTAAAAAGGAAAATGTAGAAAGATGAAAAAAGGAAAGAAAAAAAAAAAGAAAGTCACCCATAGTCTCACCACTGCCCAGACATGATCATTATTTCATTTTGTTGCATTTCCTTCCAGTCTTCTTTGGTTTTCATCCACATTATTTTTTGGTGTTATTTTGCAGAGTAATTATTTTGTACAGAACAATTTTGTATCCTGCTTTTCCCACTTATTGTAAGCATTCCCCCATGTTATTACAAACCTTTTATAAATAAAATATTTATCAGCTGTGTAATATTTCATCATATCATTGCACCACAACTTAATCATTTATCTATTGCTGGACATTTAGTTTGTTTCTACTTTCACTATTATAAGTAACCATGTGGTGGTTATCTGCAGATTCTGAATATATCACCATTAATTACCTTTGGGTAATTAAAGTAAAATATTAAAAAGGCACTATGTCTCTCTAAAAGTAATCAGAAGACACAGAACAGGCAAAGAAATAATAAGAATTTTTCTTGAGAAATGAGCACACATTTGTAATGCAGGAAACATTCTCTAATGTAGACAGTCCCCAGTCAGATCCATGCACAAACACACACATAACACACACACACACACACACACACACACACACACACACACACACGCCCTCTGAGCTACACACATCCTCAGAGCCACAGCTCCACATGTGGGATCTGTCCTTTCAGCTAGAGGGAGGTTTCAGAGTACTTAGTAATTTCAATAATGACCGTTAAGAGTTAAAAACAACAGATAGCCATGGTCAGGCCTGTTGTTAGAGCGAGTGAGAAAATGGTCTTATGTTCAGAGATCAAGGAGAAAAGAGATTAGAAAGTGAGATGGAGCCTGAGAGAGAGGCTCTGGAGAGTTGCCAGAAGCTGGAGCTGCCAATTACAGGCATTCACTGCACCTGCTTAAGAAAGGACTCCTCTCAGGCCACTGGAGCCCAGCTCATCAGGGCAGCCATCTTGGAACCACAATGCACTGTGGGAGCCAGATGTGCCAGGTGTGTGACCTCTGACCATCATCTCTGCCAGAGAAGGAGAAAGTGTAATACAGACAGCCCCCTGATGTTCATATTTGTATTGTCTCTTATTGCACTTTTGCAAGTCTTGGCACAGTGCCTGGCATTTTCACAAATTAAGTGTTTAAGGCCCCCACTCCTACCCCCACCTTTCATGCAGGGCTTGGTCTTCCTTCCAGAAGCAGTTCTTCCTCTCGCTGCATTTCCCCACATACCTGCCCTTGTACTCTGGGGTGGTGGTCCCCACACGCCAGCCTATGGACCAATTTGTCTGTGTCAAAATGAGAAAATTAAGGACAATGCAGAAATTTTATCATTCAGCTGAATATATTTAATTTAAAGAATTACCCTCTATTCTGATTTGGTAGTTGTGGGTTTTATTCCTTCACATGCTGATGTGAGCAATACCCATTATTTTTCTAAATCGAAGAAAATCCTTCCCTGAGGCCCTGCTCATCAGAGTGGAAAGAAACAAACTCTCAGTCCTGTTGTGGAGGGCTCCTTCCGTTCCCTACAGCCACACAGAAATCTAAAGGGCTTACCTGGTGTCTGGAAAATTGGAAGTCGGATGTTGTATTTCAGGCAAAGTAGTGAACAAAGCATTTGTGCTTTTAAACAATGAGATCCTGCAAAGAACAATTTTTATTGCATATCTGGGATTTGGGGAAGTGAGGGAAATCTCTGAGGGCCGCAAAACAAAACCACCCTTACTGGCACGGCGAGTGAATAGGCACACAGGAAAAGTGGAGTTGTCCCAGGGCAAATGCCAATATTAGCATTTGGAATGTTAAATACAGGTAGTCCCCCCTTATCTGCAGGGATTACGTTCCAAGACCCCCCTTGGATGCCTGAAACTGCAGATAGTACGGAACCATATATATACTATGTTTTGTCCCATACATACATATCTATGATGCCTGTTGCCGTCGAGTCGATTCCAACTCATAGCAACCCTATAGGACAGAGTAGAACTGCCCCACAGGGTTTCCAAGGAGTGCCTGGTGGATTCGAACTACCGACCTTTTGGTTAGCCACCAAACTCTTAACTACTATGCCACCAGGGTTTCCACTTTTACATATCTCTGATAAAGTTTAATTCATAAATCAGGCACAGTGAGAGATTAACAACAATAATGATAAAATAGAATTATAACAGTATACTGTAATAAAAGTTATGTGAGCGTCAGAGAGGGAAGGCACGAGATTTCATCACGCTATGCACCCATTTAACATCTTCGGATCGTGGTTGACCGAGGGTAACTGAAACCTCGGAAAGCAAAACTGTGAATAAGGGGTGACTGCTGTATAAGGCCAGGTTCATAAGGAGGAATGGTGAGTTGGGTGCCAACTGTTATTAGTCACTGAGTCAATTCTGACTCATGGCTACCCCATGTGTTACAGAGTAGAACTGCTCCATAAGGTTTTCTGGGCTATAATCTTAACAGAAGCAGATGGCCAGGCCTTTTCTTCCAAGATACCGCTGGGTGGGTGTCAACTGCCAACCTCTAGGTTAGCAGCTGAGTGCAAACCGTTTTCACCACCCAGGGACCTTACTAGAGGCTTTGGGTGTAGTGATAACTTACTTTACAACAGCATATAGAAATAGGACATATTGGGTGACTAAGTCAGAAAGCACTGTGATCTAATTCGGGTAATCAAATCCACGCGGGTACGTACACAAGCCATGCGTGCATACTGGAAACACATAAACTGCCAACAGTGTTTACATCTGGCCAGGAGGGTGAGCGCGGGGGAGGGGTGGGAGGAAGGGATGGGGACTTTCGAGTACAGTCCATATGATTATGTATAACGAGAATGCCTGAATATAAGATAATGGGAACCCTCAAATTTGGAGCCAGCTGGTCAGAAGTGAGGGTGACTCTGGGGACCCCCAACCTTGCAGCTGGTGTCTGAAGTGAGGGCAGTCTTGTGAAAGACTGTGCCCTTAACTGTGAAGTTTGGCCTAACTGTGGGGAGTTGGTGTCAGAAGTCTTTTGCAAAGGAGTACAAGACAGAGTCCTTCCCTCAAGGCACACACAGACTAGAGAGGGAGGTAGACATCTAGTAGACTGTGCTCAGAGGAACGTAGGAATCTCCACAGGCGTGCGAGACTCCTCCCTCATAGTGACATCTGGGTGACAGTTCGACCAGCTCTAAGTGGCCCCTGTTGTTGAGCATCTGGAATCAATCCTGGTGTTGTCACTGGGAGAGTCCTGAGACATTTTCAGAGAATGAATCTGAGGCCCAGAGAGGGAGAGGGACCTGTTGGAGGCCACACAGCAACTTCCAGGTGAAGGAGTGGATTAGCCATGGAGTCCCTCAGCCCTCCCAAATGCTCACAGACTGGGTACAAGCATTCAGAAAGAGCTTCCTCTGGGGGTGGGGAGCGTGGAGGAGCACAGGGGAAAAGCAGATATCCCAGAGCACACAACATGTCTCTCCAACTTCCATTCCAGAATCATCTGTGCTGTGCCTCCCAGCTTTCAGGGCTCCCAGTATTACCCTCTCCCAAGGCATCCACCCACCCCCCTCCCCAGTCCCAACCAAAGACAGAGCCCAGAAGCCTTTGCTTTGACATTTAATCAAAAGAGGGAAAAAAAAACAAAAACCAGTCAGAGAGAAAGTTGAGGAGTGGATGGCTGAGGGAGGGGAAAGGGAGGGGCTGGAACTGAGTCTGGGCAGTAGGGGCAGGGTCCTCTTTATCCTGAGGTCCTTGAAATACAAAGGCC